CCGAGTAGCTGCTCTGTTTCATTTCATAGGACAGTGGACTATGATGAGCATGATATGAGCCTATTTGGGCACAGGACTATAAGTATATGAAACAGGAATGTAACAGGCTCACAATGGTACGGAAGTGAAACCGCGTCAGTCGTCAAGTGACCACGGTGATTTGCAGACTGATGAAGTCTGGGAAAGTAAATAGGGTTCGGTGTCACATTATTAGGGATGTTCAAAGTTAGCGTGGGTCCGCGGGTCGTGGGTTGCTGGTGGCAGATCTGCAGCGCGACTCGGCACCAATTTTTGAATTGGTGGGGGGTCCGAGTACTAGGTTTTCGTCGGTGTCTATAACAACAGCCAAAAGAAATGTGCGAAACGATCAAGACAAGATAAATGGAAAAAGAGCGATGATTCGTATTGTATCACGGATCTTTTTCATCGTTGGGCGCTTATATCGGATGCGGAGACGCCACACAAACGTGGCAAGAAGACCGCAACTTCTGGTTCCGTTTTTCACACTGCGACGAAATGAAGCATTGTAGACACGTCCGCGACGCCCGATAACTGCCATGAACCTTACAACAGTGATATTAGAAGCCTCCGCAGGGAACGAGTTGCTTGAAGACTCGATCTTGGGCTGAATATGGGATCTGAAAAGGACGCTTGTGGCGACATTCGGGTTCCATCCAATTCCAAGTAACATGATCGTTCGGTCTGATTCGGCCAATATTGACTCGTCCGCAATAATGAAGCCTTTCTTGGTTGCATAATTGTGGCACTGTCTCATTCCCCCAGGGCCGTCGAATGAATCCAGGCAGTTGGGCAACAACGCCTCGCCCACGATGGGAACTGGAATTCCGGGCTGAAAAAGCCCCATGCTGAACCAGAATTCAACTGCGCCTGTCTTTGAAGTTTCAAGGGCTGGCACGGTCCCGCTCGGTTCCGACACTCCGGGTCGGAGAGCCCCATTGGGATTTCAACATGTGGCACGCATCAAACGTGGTCCATTGCGCTTGCTTTAAACCATCGACAGGATCAGCTCTAATGAACGATGTGAGTATTATCAGTGGACCATTATAGTATAAAGGATCTGAATCCATCTATCTCCCTTGTCAGTCCATTGTACGCCTGTCAGATGACCTCCTCTGCGAGATCTTTTTCTCTTTGCTTGATGATTGGAAGCATGACAGCAATAGCTATAACAGAGGCAGCACTGGAAATGTATGGGAAGATGGTGATGCTTTCATGGACATCCTGATAGCGCTCAATCTACCCCAACTGTCTATAACTCACATCTGTCGCCATTGGCGGCAAATTGCCATGGCTCTGCCCAGATTTTGGAGCTCATATTTTGTCTCTGTCCGTGGAGACAATGCACAATTCGGCCACATCGATATTGGCGGCCGTATTGTGGCGTTGGATAAATGGATGGAGAGATCCGAACCGCTGGTCGTGAATGTTGCAGTTCATTGCATCAATTGGGATGTACTCAACCTCGAGGGACTCGTTGTAGCGCTCATGAGCTACTCCCATCGGTGGAGAGAGCTCAAACTCTCGATTCCAGAGAAATTCTTCCAGTCATTACACACCATGACAGCTGTTCCCAACCTCGAAAGGAAAGCATTCATTGCCTGGGAAGAGATTCCGGATTCCAGATTGGTCTTCCAACCAGCAGTGGACTTCGCATGGGTAGCATCCGCGCCACGTCTCAGTCATATATCATTTGATCAGCTGAGCGCTAGTTCGACTGTCCTCCCAGCATTACCATGCAATCAGCTTCAGAGCCTTTCTTTGTCTTGTCAAAACTTCGGCTCGTATAACATGTGCTCTACTTCCTTCCTGAATATCCTCAGGATATCGCCCAATCTCGTCTCCTTCTCGCTCTTCATGCCGGGGACAGAATTCCAGGATAACGAGTCTCGGGAGCTGATGGACGGATGGGTTGATGGTACCCAAGTATCTGCGGTCAAACTCGAGCATCTCGAGCTGCACCTGCTCTTGGAGTCAGATCACGTAAAAGCTGCCGACATATTGAGTAGTCTCATTGCACTAAATCTCACTTCATTAACACTTCCCGGTGGCGCATATACCGACATTGCCGTACTAGCTGCATTCGCCGATCGGTCGAGATTTGCTCTCAAAGTCTTGCGGAATCTTTCTTCAAATCCGAAGATGCCTGTATCATTCCCCATCCTGGAGCATTTGAAATCTCGAGGAGCTGTATCTTCAGCTAGTCCGGTGACCGACTCTCTATGAGCGGCAAGCCTCCTGACGAGAGGTTTGCCTCTTGCCGCGTCAGAGAGGCTGGTTACGAACCTAATCTTCAGCATGATGACCCTGAAATTTTCAGGTCATTGGAGATCCAATCTGGAGCTCGAATGGTTTGTCCTAAACTGCATGTGCTACACGTTGATCGTTGGGAGAACCAGGGCGGTCCTCCTGAGCCTGGTCCAATTCTTGCTCTCCTACGTACGCGAACATACGCGAAACCAGGGAATGTTATGGTTGCTCTGTTGGATAATGTTTATCTGGGCAGCGAATGGGATATCAAAGAGTATTTTCCGATAGAAGAAGGAAGGTCGATTGAGCAATGTGGCACGAAGCTGACTTTATTCAGTCGCGAATAATGTGAGTCCTGACTTGCAGTCGTCAATGACATCATTAACAGATCCTTTGAAGCATGTCAAAGGGGTTCGGAAGGCGAGGACTATCACTTTGTTTAGACTACTTCAAGAAGCAGAAAATACTCACGAATATAGACTGCAACAGACTGCAACAGTGTCGCGTCTCAGCATTGGCTGAGCACGTATTCAGATCCAAGGGACCTCCAAGGATCAACCAAGTTGAGCGGGAATTTGACGAACATCAGGAAATGATGCCTTAGGAACTTATGGTTCTTTTGAGCATAGTTCAGGCCGGATCCGAATCCCAAGGCAGTGTTCCATTTCGCGGGAGCACTTCAACATGAGGCTTTTCGTCACTGGAGACGTGTTACAGTCAAAAAGGACATGTCGGGACTCGTCAGGACACGTTGAGACACGACTTCAGGAACTTGAGACCTGGGAACAGAATTAGAAAGGTATAAAAGGCTGGGGAAAGGAGAAAGAAGGGCCTCATTCGATCCCTGTTTCAGGTTGTACTTTGGTTTCAACGAGCTCTACGTTGAGCATCGTCGTCACCAGTACAAGATCCGACGAAACGTGACCGTATCTATTCCTAATAGTCTGATTCACTTGATAAGCAATTCATCGTAGTTTTCCTTACAGACAACAGGTCAGAACACGAGTCCGAGCTAAATCCAATCTATCCTCCGAACATCTGACCGCAGAGGTGTCCATCCACCGACGCGCATAGCAGCACAATAGCGTGACGATAGTGTCCAACTACATTGAATCGCCACAGTATTCTTCTCTTATTTTCATTGGCACGGTAGCATGTCTTGGACTGTGGTGTCATTCCATGATATGGCGATGATTCTACCGGTATTCTTCTGACTGCTACAACGAAACATAGGTAAAGATACAGTTCTAGAGCCTCCGAGAAACTGGATGAACATCCGAATGCCAGAATCAGTAGACCGCTTCTTTCTGAGAGTGTTCGTCAGAAACGTGAACCAGAATTGAAGCACCTATTGACGGTGTGCTCTCTCCCAATTGGCAAAGATAGCATTAGAATCCACTACTTTCGGACCAGCTACACGGTCATGATCAGCTCGTTTCCTTGCGAATGACTAGTTGGTTGTCAGACTCGAGTAATATCCGTACAGAAGGTGGAGGCTCACACTTGAAGAAGAGTCCCTTGGACGAGTCGAGTCTCGGCGGGAATCAGAGCTACGATATTCCCCTGCGCGAGTCGACTCGCGACGAGAGGCTGAACTGGAATGACTATTCCGGCCGCCTCGCCGCTCCAAGTCATTGATGTCATGACGTTCAACTAGCTATGATGGAGATGAGCCAACCATATCTTCCGTTAAGCTGGTCAAAACCAACAGTATTATCCCGTTGTTCAAGCTTCAGACCAAAATCATCTCGTCGCAGAAGCGATTCAGCTCTATAGATCTCTTCAGTGACAAGTTTAACTTGTTTGATTCGCTGGCATACCTTATCCCAGACGGCATAGCAAGAGCAGAATCGAGCAGTGTTATGGAAATCAAAGCGAGAAGGGTTGTAGAAAAGCGCATTGTTTTGTCAAAATGTGGGTCAAAGGTGGGAGAATGTGGGGGTGAAACGACCGGCGCTTGCAGGAATCTGGTGCATGGCAGCGGCTCTTTATCCATGGCTCACCACAGCAATCCGGCCGCCTGCAGGATGGAGCATCACAGATCAATCAATCACCATGGTGACGACTGATGACGACGGTTCATTACGGTTTAGCACTCCAGCTCCTTGCTACTCACTGAGCCCTTGAAGTCACCTTACTGTCCACTGCAAACGGATTGACTCTAGCGATCCAAGATTCGGGCTTTCAAATCGTTCAAAGCGGACAATTTCACTTGATGTTGCTACCATCATATATGGCACCGCCCCAAACGGCCGATCGGTAAGTTTGGCCCAGGTTTGATCTGGTTTGATTTGATTGCCATGATGAGCGAGCGCCAAGGGGCCAAGGGGAGAGAGAGATGGAGAGGAGTGGTAAAAAAGAGAGAGACATGAAGATAATTTGGGGCTGTAGCTAAGGCCTGCACTTCTATGACGAGAATCACTGAAAAAAGCGAAGAGAAGTGTCACGCATGTGATCGATATTTGATGGTCAGCTGACGATTCTCATCACGTGTACACGATGCGTCTTCAAGTTATCTGAGACTGCGACGCGACGGGCAGACTGGAAAGAAAGGGTGGGGTCGGAGAGTGACTTGATTCATTTCCTGGCATGTTCTCAGTGTCCTGTTCCTCGGCGGACAGATTTCCTCAATCCTGTCTGTGCCAGACGTAGCGTGTTTGTTGAGACCATAAAGAAACGAAAAAAAGAAACGATGAGCGTGAGCTGGATCGGGGTCCCTTTTAGGGAAAAAGTCTCACCTGCCGGGATCGAACCAGCGGCCTCGGGATAAAGCAATATCCAGTTACAGTCCCACGCTCTTCCAACTGAGCTAAGGTGAGATGAAGGACGTCCTAAATCGCGCGTTGCGGCCGAGAGCCAACTTTGATCGGTTGGATGATCAAATAATTTCTTTTTGACGCATCTACTGAAGAGGGAACAAGTCTGGCAACATTTCTAGAAATAATCTATATTCATTACTTTCGAAGTTGGATGCCGATTAATATTTGCAGAGTCTCCAATTCCCGTCGCCCAGTCCTGGTACAATTAAACCCTTCACGTGCTGCGATAGCTGTCCAGACATCCGTGGAATAGCTATGCTTGACTATTTTGTAACAACCCGAGACGCTATTCTCCTGGGCTACTGGAGTGGTAGTACAATTGTCGCCAGCAGCCCTGCAAGCTTTGACAGTGCAATCCAGCTTCATCTTACTTGAGACCTACACGATGCACACTGAATACTGGGTCAGAATTGCAGATCATTGCATGACGAATGGCTTGAACGCACTCTCCGGAACACCCCGGTTTGTTGGCTCTTTACTGATAACACCAAAAGTACTGGAAAGTGGGCTAGATGATGTTCGCAGTTGGACAGAGGTTTCTAACCGCAAGGGTAAATGCGAGCACTGTCAAGGTGAAATGTATTGCGAAACTAGAAAAATGATGGTGAATGAAGACCTGCTTGAGAGACGAGGCAATAATGATGCTCTCCCTTTCATAGGTAATTATTGAATCAGTGATCGTCTCTGGCAATAAGGCGGCCGTACAAATTGCGGTTCGAATGTCGGCGCTGTATGAACCCATTTTTCAGGAAAACAAACTCACAGATATTTTGGCAAGGAAAAGATGGGAACGGGTGGGAGATGAGTAGGATGATGGTTGCGCTGATGAGAGAGGCGTAGATGTTGTCAATGCGTATCTCCTTGTATGTCCGTAACTCCGCGTAGGCCCCGCAGCGAGCGTAGGGGGGTCCGCAGGCTCGCATGAGACAACTCAAATTGGTGATTTTGACATAAACATAATACTTTTTAATTGTGAATCTTTGATTCAAGGGGCCCATTTTCAGTAGATAATATCGATATCTAGGGAGTTGTACTCTTCTAGGCATTTTCCTCAGAGCACCAAAGGTAGGTATTAACAGTTGAGATTATATTTTGTATACATTGCATTCCGCGCAGTGGGCCAAGCGGCAGGCGTGTGCGGAGATGTAATGCCGGTGCTGCCGAGGTGGCGGACGCCGCGTTGGGACGGAGGTGACAGATGCGTAGATGCGTAGATATCGGAGAGGCGTGTGGATAGTGGGAGGCGTAGAAGGCGGATGCGCAGAGGCGTAGATAGTGGGTCAGGATCTACGTGCCTGTTTATTCTCCCATTTTTCATTGTTTATTCTGATACCTGGTGCGTGAAGTCAGGTGATTTTCATACTTCCTGGTACTACTACTTGATACCAGGTATAAAGTGCTGAATTTCAACTTCTACTGGATTACTGGACATTAAAGTGTGTGAGGTTCCACAAAAAACCCAGGTTTCAGCAAAACAGGTGTTTGATCACACTAGTCACAATTGTCACAGCTTCCTGGTCCTTGATGCGACATTCTTACTTTCAGACTCTTGATTTCTAAACAGTTCATTGAAGATGAGAGGTCAATTGAGAGATTTTCAAAGGTTATAATTCATTTTAGAAGATTTCAAAAGGTTTGGAAGGTCAATGGTCAAAACCATAGAAGTTCAGGTGGTCGAAATCATTAAGATAAAATCTACAAGCATAAGAAAGTCCATTGACCCAGGCAGATGCTACAGCAATGATGTTGCTGCTTCTAGTCCATTCTCCAACAAAATCATCAAGGCTGGGAAGGACTTCATCAGTGAAAACAGTCCACAGCAGTTCAACGACAACTTGAGTGAGATCAGGCGAAGTCCCTGGGTGTCCAACTCAGGAAGAGGACTTTTCATTGGGAGGAATATGAATTTGCTGGTGGTGGCACACATGTTCAATGTTGGATGCTGCCCAGCCAATTCCCTAGGACTTGAGCTCTTCAGGGCTCAGCTTGAGTGTCTGATCATGAAAGTCCAAAGCAAGCATGTCAAAGACAAACATGGCGAGCAGGCTTCTGTTGGGACAATTCTGGATTTGAATCAGGTGGTTGTTCCAAGCCTATGCAAAGAAGTCGAGTTGGATATTGATAGTCAGAAGGAAATGATGTAGCAACAGCCATATATGGTTCTTGTTGTTGATATTGAGGCAGTACTGAAGCTCCAGCATGTCAAAGAGATGGACATCCATAGAGGAAATGTGTGACTGCCTTGGTATCAGCCACGAAGCCAAGGCCTGAGATGAAGAAAATATCAGCAGGCAAAGCTTCCCATGGTACTTCATCCACACATTAAGGTACAGTTTCAAATGCAAACCAGCTCAGATATCCTTCACTGACACATCTTGGACACTAATAAAGGTGTAAAATATGAGGACAAAGCAAATTTGAAGAGGTGTGCAGAACACAGAATAAAATCAATTGGAAACACAAACAGCGAGCCTTCAAATTTATCAAGACAGCATAGTGAGGGGAAGAATAGAACACTGGAAACCACAAAAGAGAGAAATGAAGATAGCCATCTCACATGAAGCATCCCTAGTAGTCTGCTTTCTGAGACTGCTCTGCACAGTCGCTGGAGTTACTCAGGTGATTGAAGAAACCTATGAAAGAGGATCAGCAATAGGACATTTTGGTACAAAATAATTGATTGCTTTGGTTTTCCATGTCTGAACCTGGTTCATCACATCTTGTGGCAATATTAGGGATGAGAATGAAGACAAGGGATGAAAGAAGGAAATATGCCCTGTCATGCTGTTCTGTTGCCTTGCTTACACCAACTTCTCCTTTTCAGGTTCAAGCCCATCTTGCTCGCTAATTTAAAACAGAAATTGAGAATCATTTGTGCCATTGAATTGATCATGCAGCTACCCTTGGGCTTGTGTTCGACATTGAGGCTTTTCAAGATGCAACATCAATCTCATACTTCTTCGCATTGATATTGGCCCCCCATGGCTGTAACACTCGCTGCTTGATCTCAAATTTGGTGACAAAGCAGCAAGCTGCAGCATTAGAGCCACAATGCTAGACTAGTTCCACAATAATAGAACAATTGCCGCGAAATTCAAATCTCTCTGTCACAGCACAAAATCTGGCAGATATTGGTGCAAGAGTGAAAGAAGGACGGAAAATGGATGTTAGTGAAGATATCAGTTGATTGTGTTGATGGCAAAGGCAAAGGTAAGATTATATAAAAAAGGCCTGCAGCCTCGCAGCATCTAAGTAATGTTCAAAAAGACTTTCATTAGAGTACTGCTACCAGTAATTTAAGTATTAAGAGTCTGAGATAAAAACCAATGGAAGATATGTTGACATTGAGACACCAACTGTGGTCATCCATGGAATCCTAATGTTGATGTAGCAAGGTTCACCAGAGTTGCTGCATTGCTGCCACCGCTGGATGTCATAAGTCTGATAAGACATGGAGATTGATATGCAGAAATTCTGGCTGGACGTTGAAGAAGCTAAAGCTGTTGTGACAGAAATTTGGAGTGCTGAAGGAGAGTTCTGGGGTATAATGGTAGCAGGTCAAGGAGTTGACAGAATAGTGGAAATGGGCTGAGATGCAGGTGGAGGGGTATTAGCAATAGTTGCCTGAATCTGAGCAAGTGCTGGCGTCTAAGCTGGTGATGAAATGACTGTAATCCATGGAAGGTCGGCTGATGTTGGACTATCAAATAAGGCCTGGACCGGTCTAGAAACCATCTTGTCCAGTTGCTGTTGCCATAATGCAGGCCAATGACAGTGATTTAAGTGCGAAAAAAATCAAGTACAAATCATTTCCCATTTTGAAATCTCTCATAGACCTTCAAAATCTATGGGTCCACCTCTTGTTGACCTCTAAAGGTTTTGGAGTCTTCAGAAAGGTAGCAGGAATCAGGTACGTGGCATCAACTTTTGTCACATCACGAGGTAAGTGGCTGTGACCACGTTACCGTCAATGCTCGACCAAAACCTGGTTGTTTTGCTTTCCAGGAGTCACTTACTTGTGAGTACTCATCAAAATACCAGTTTTCAACCATAATGAAGTACTATTTTCTATAAACTCATTTTCATCGTTTATTACTGACACGTGGTACAATACGTGATACATGGTATGTAAAACCTGGTGATTTTCGTGCTTCCTGGTACTTGATACCTGGTATAAAGTACATAATTTCAACTGCTACTAGATTACTGCACTATAAAAGTGTGTGCAGTTCCATGAAGATCCAGGTTTCAGTGAAACCGTGTTTGATCACACTGGTCATGATTGTCACAGCTTCCTGGTCCTTGACATGACATTTCTTACTTTCAGACTCTTGGCTTGTAAGCGGTACATTGAATATGAGAGGTCAATTATAAGGTTTTCAAAGGTTACAATTCATTATAAAAGGTTTCGAAAGGTTTGAAAGGTCAATGGTCAAAAACAGTCAAAAACATACAATGCAAGGGGTTGTGGGGTCTTTGAGCCTTTTCAAAGATCACACCAAACAGAACAAGACTAGACGTATATTCTCTAGGTTCTGTAGATGTTGACAATGATGTAAAGGTATTAGGTAAAGATAATCTACCAAATACGGAAAGCTGGCGATGAAATGACTGTAATCCATATAAATGGGTTAACGATAGTGGTTTGAGTGCGAAAAAATAAAGTGCCTACCATTTTTGATGTACCAGGCTTTATATGCCCTTGCCAAACCTTTAACAACCTTTAAAACCTCTTTCAGACCTTCAAAATATATGGGTCCACCTCTTGTTGACCTTTAAAGGCTTTGGGGCTTCGGAAAGGTCTTGGCAGGAATCAGGTATGAGGCATCAATTTTTGTCACATCACGAGGTAAGTAGCTGTGACCACATTACCATTGATGCTCGACTCAAACCTGGTTGTCTTGCTTTCCAGGAGTCATGTACCTGTCAGTACTTGTTAAAATACCAGTTGTTAAGCATAATGAAGTACTATTTTCTGATGAAAAATAAGGTCATAATTT